AAAATACAGGATCAATGTATTTTTTCCTCAGCTTTCTTATGCAATTTTCGGAATCANCTTGAATTGAAACGTCTAAATCAGAAAATATTGTACATTTTTTACTAATTCTATTTCTTACATAAATACTTGTAAATGGTAAATTGAATAACAAAACAGTTCGTCGATATTTCGGGTCTAAAAATTTTTGGTGACAAATTCTAAGGTCCAAAACGAAAGTGCAATTGAATACGCCCGAAGAGATTAAAAGTAGTTTACACATAGAATCTCATATACATAGCAAGTATAAATTCAAGCATATATCAAATATTTTTAAAAATATTTATAACTACTCCAGTCACGTTAAATCACCCTTTGACGCCTATGAAACTACAATCCATGTGCTGTTACCGTTGAATCGACTACAACTGAGATTGTTTCTAAGGTAACAGCATCGGAATGGTTCTTATTCTCAGTATTGTCTTTCTTTGAATCACTACTTTTTTTCATATTTTTTCCATATGACTCGTTGCAATTATTATTTGGTGCTTTACGTCTCAAGAGGCGATTATAAGCTTTGCGGAAGGCAGGGTTCCTCCAAGCGTAAATTATTGGATTGATGCCGCTGTTGCTAAGAGCAATCCAGAAAGCCACATAAATTACTTTATAATTATTACACAGATTTAACTTATCTAACACAGTTATGACCATACAAGGTAGCCAGCAAATCGAAAAACAGCCGAGAATGATGACTATGGTCTAAAAAAAAATAAAGTTATTTGCAAAATTGATGATGAAATGTGTGTGATCTTGAGGTTTGTGTACTTTTAATGGATGATTTTATATTTACCATGTGACTGTTTCCATTTTTTTTTCGAACGTTTTGGTCAACCACTTTGGATCTCGCTCTCATTCTTTGCGTGTGTGATTTTGCTGCTCTCCAGATACGCCAGTAAAGCATGTGAAGCACGAACCAAATTGTAAAAAAAATCGGTACGAAAACTGTATGGTCATATGAGCTGAAAAAATCAAACGTTATCAGCACTAGTTGGAGTTTATGCCTGATTTCATTGTTATGATGACTACTTTTAAAGTCACTGAACAAAATTGTTCTTTTTATTTGAACATGCATTCTATAGAACTCAAAAAGTAACGTTTGCTTGGATGACTTTATTTTTTTTCGTCTCTGCAAACTTTCTACCTATGTACATACTAAATTTAACTTTTGTATTAAAGATATACTTTAATTTAAATATCTTATGTTAAGTAAATGAAGAATACTAGTATTAAAATATTTTTTTGATGAAAATGTACCTATGCATTGAATACTAGCAACATTGTTGTACTAAAAAACAATATTTTATTACGTATATATTTATTTCATAGTAAGTTAAATCAAACACTAGTGTTTACTATAGTTATACGTACTTCAAACGGATAAACAATTTAAATAATACTATTGTAGGTCTCATTGCTAAAATTTTAGAGACTTTATTTGATTAAGATTAATAACGTTATTTTTCACTTTAAGTCGGACAACAAACAAAAAACAATGAAGTATCCAACAATCTTCTTTGAGGTAAGATTACGTGACGAAACGGAACATGATAATTATTTAGACCTTATAAAAAACTTGATCTGTACCTCACTTGTTCAGCATAGCTTTTGCATGTACTTTTCATGTCAGAGTTGATCCAGAAAATAGGTCCTGTAGATATCAGAGCAGTTATGCACCAACTGATAGCTATTGTAGCAGAGACTACGCGCTTCGTCACATATTTTCGATGAATCACTGGATGTATAATTGAAAAATATCGTTCGGCAGCTATTGCCGTAATACTGAAGAAATTAGCTATACTGCCACTGTATAAAAATATATCCAAAACGTGTGTGAATGTTCCAAAAAAATTAGACTTGCGCATTAATCAGATATCTGTGTACGTATAAAAGATGATTACATCCGTATTTTTAACAAAATTAAACTTCGAGTACTTACTGCGTAATAGAGGTGTCAGCCTGTTTACCCATAGCTGCGAGGAACAATGAGTCTCGCGAAGGAACTATGTGAATAGCGACTTGAATGTGTCTTTATGCATGGAAAGTATAATAAGAGAAGCATGTTAGGTACCCGTGACGATGAAGTATTATAAATAAATGTGGCAACACTCCAACTTTCTAATGGCTCCAAACAAATTATTTAAGACAGTAATACTGGCTGTAGCGATTAGATAAGGATTCTAACAGCAGTAAAGGGACCAACGGTAGCAATGTCATCCACCCAATTGACTGTTTGATGTATTGCAATTCCATTGTTGTACGATATTGTTGACGCTTCATAATATTGTAGCCTACGTAACAAAGTAACAAATCATAGTGCATAAATAAGAGGCATGTATTGAGAATACCTATTACGATCTACTGGAGTAAACCTTAGGATTGAAAACAAGAAATGGAGAAGTTTTCAAGTTAATGCTTGTCTCTGATTGGCCTCAAATGTACAGTAGATAATATTGTCTTTATACTAGAATGTTGGTATTTGAAATCAAAGCGATTTTATAAAAAGTAATACAGTTGACCTTACCGGAAAAAATTTTAGATTAAGTACGATATATTTAAAAGTTGTATTTAAATAAAATGTAAAAAAATGTATTTTATTTAGATGCAACTTTTTTGTCTTGTCAACTTTATATTTTTATGAAGTCACGTATAAATGTCCTGATAAAAAATAAGATAATAAATAATGAAAACTTGAAAAAAAACCTTTTTTCAAAAGATAAAAATTGTTGTTAACAATGACATACCGTATGCTATATTTAAATCTCAATTAGCGCTATATGCATTGTATGGTTCCTGCACAATATTATTCAAATACTCGATGATGCAGAAAAATGTACTAAAACAGCATAGAACTTTTATATTACTAGACGGAAGGAAGGATGGAAGAAATCTTTCTGATAGTTTTAAAGTACAGATATTTAAGTAAGTTGTAAGAGAGTATTCCGTGACACGAATATAAATTTGAGTTCAGCCGTGAACATATGATTAAAGATCGGTAAGCATAACAGTATATAAATGAATTGTGCCTCTAGTCTAAGATCAGGATATTGTTAAAAACCATGACAGTCGTCTGCTTGTAGTTAGTAAATAGTCGTGTTTGCATTGGTATCATTTATAATATAATTTACCAGTTTAGATCCTCGTACTTAAAAATATATATTTATTTTATACAGTTTATATCAAACAAGTAAAGCATTTAAGATTAACAGCCAAAGTTTTCACAAAATCTTAGTCCAGTACGCTTTATTATAAATGTTATTTAACATTTATTTAAGAGGTTCAATAAACATACCACTTATTGAATACAGTACAGAGGAAAAAAGATTTCTTGAGTAAGTTTAAGTATATTTATACTGATACGATAANATGAATCACTTGTTACTAGCATCCAACGTACTATTGCGTGTGCGGACTGAGGTATTCAAAGTTTAAGTGAAAAATTTTTTTTTATATGACCCCGTTAACGTTCAAAAAACATTTTAATTGTACTTATAGGAACCCAGAGTTTGAGGCGTAAAGATATAGAAATTAATACATAAAAATATTTTACTTCAACAGTTTACAAGTAAGTAGCAAATTGGGCATAATTCATAAAAAGTTTATGTATTTACGAATTCCACTAAAATTTCAAGTACTTACGTTAAGGAGGTACTAGCTTGATCATCCATGGCTGTGAGGAGTATAGTGTGTCTCGTAAACAAAGGTCGGAGCTAACTATCCAAATGAAGTTTCTTAAAAGTAGGAGAAAATTGTTTGTTGTGCCACTAAACTGTAACCTATTTACCAGTACACTAAATTAAGAACTTACAGAAATTTCGACACCACAGTTGACTTTCTCGTTATAGGTTTGGTGTTGCGCGTGTCATGAAACGTATTAGTGTCGGACTTACATACATAAAACTTTACTGTGACATACATGATATGTAACAGTAAAGTTAGGGACGCAATGCCCATATAAAATGTATAAAAAAAAGTTTAGTCTGACTCATAATAAGTAATAACAATGTTATACGACATGTATGTATAAAACGAGGTGATTTTAAAAAAAGTTTTACATACAAGTTTATTCATGGTCCTGAAAAAGAACTCAAGTCTGACGTTTATAACCGTTTTTTATCCTAGAAGGGTTTTTAGCTACCCACTACGAACAAACTGTGTTTGTTGAAACGACAGACACAAGACAAAACAATTTTCTCATGTTTTCTTATTTTAAATATAAATGAATTGCTCAATTGACGAAAAAATAAACTTTCTCTGTTGATTGTCGGTTTTCCAAGTGAAAGTGAAAAAAAAAAAAAATTTGTTCCCTCCTAACGAACCCTTCGTAAAACCAACTCAGTCCGTCCTCTTGAAGCTGTACATAAATCGGTGAAATTTCCTTGAGTTAGCTCAAAAACTCTCGATAACGTGTATACCTTGTGTACTTTTAATGGATGATTTTATATTTACCATGTGTTAATACGTAGGTACCTTTAGGAAATCCTAGTTAAAGCAGTTTTCTAAAGCTAACTCTTTAATTTGTGAAAAAATAGATTTGATACTTTTGTATCTACTTTGAAAAAAAAAAGTAAGAATTATATCATGTAAAAATTTGACCTGACAAAAACTTGGTTTTCAGACATTTATATTTAAGTTTAGTTTGGACTATTTTGTAGTATGTTATCAAATGTATCTTTTCCGATCAAGTATCTAGTTACCAGTGTAACAAACTACTTCAGTACATCTGAATAATTTTTTTTTAGGTGGATAGAGTGTACGAATCAATTAACAGAAATCGTAAATACATGTTGTTAATTCAATGGTAATGCTGAATCGCACTGAAGTCTTGTTGGATGCTTCATAGGTTTGTTTAACCCAACTTATCGTTATAATTAATAATTTAATGAATCACTTGTTACTAGCATCCAACGTACTATTGCGTGTGCGGAGATCCTCGTACTTAAAAATATATATTTATTTTATACAGTTTATATCAAACGACCAACTTCTTTGGACCTCGTTCGCGACCTTTTCGTGTATGCTCTTGTTGCTCTCCAAATTCGCCAGTAAGCTATGAGGAGGACCAGCCATACTATCATTAAATTCGGTATGAAAACGTACGTGTCGTAATAGCTGGAAAAAGTAGACAAATTTAGTAGTACATGTTTAAAAAATTAATAAATTATTTATTTTTCATTCCGAAAAAACCAAAGATCGTTTGTTTACCTTATTTCAGCAGAATAGTTGTAGCAATTACTTTGTACGTCAGTGTTGATCCAAAAAATGGGTCCGGTTGATATTAAAGCAGTTATGCACCAAATAATAGCTATGGTGGCAGAAATAGACCACTTCGTCACATACTTTCGATGCTTGAACGGATGGAGAATCGCAACATACCGGTCTAAAGCTATGGCGCCGATGCTGTAGAAACTCGCAGTGCAACCAGCGTATCCAAGAATTTCGCTGTTTACATTTAAACCACGTAAATTTGTTGAATTGAAAGATTAGCTCTTTCGTACAAGGCGAGAGATAAATTACACTACACCAACTAGCAGATATTATCTTATTTATTAACTTTTTTTTTCAAGTTAAAGTATTTGTACTTACGGAACTATGCACCAAATTTTACGAATATAATTTGAAAAGTGACTAAAATCTTGAGGTTGAACTGTAAAAATGAGTAGTGCCAAACCATTGAAGAGATCCGCAATTGCAAGATTGAAAATCAGTTGATTGGAGATTTTGCCAAATCGACGACGGCTTAGACATTGAACAATTATANCATGTGCTGTTACCGTTGAATCGACTACAACTGAGATTGTTTCTAAGGTAACAGCATCGGAATGGTTCTTATTCTCAGTATTGTCTTTCTTTGAATCACTACTTTTTTTCATATTTTTTCCATATGACTCGTTGCAATTATTATTTGGTGCTTTACGTCTCAAGAGGCGATTATAAGCTTTGCGGAAGGCAGGGTTCCTCCAAGCGTAAATTATTGGATTGATGCCGCTGTTGCTAAGAGCAATCCAGAAAGCCACATAAATTACTTTATAATTATTACACAGATTTAACTTATCTAACACAGTTATGACCATACAAGGTAGCCAGCAAATCGAAAAACAGCCGAGAATGATGACTATGGTCTAAAAAAAAATAAAGTTATTTGCAAAATTGATGATGAAATGTGTGTGATCTTGAGGTTTGTGTACTTTTAATGGATGATTTTATATTTACCATGTGACTGTTTCCATTTTTTTTTCGAACGTTTTGGTCAACCACTTTGGATCTCGCTCTCATTCTTTGCGTGTGTGATTTTGCTGCTCTCCAGATACGCCAGTAAAGCATGTGAAGCACGAACCAAATTGTAAAAAAAATCGGTACGAAAACTGTATGGTCATATGAGCTGAAAAAATCAAACGTTATCAGCACTAGTTGGAGTTTATGCCTGATTTCATTGTTATGATGACTACTTTTAAAGTCACTGAACAAAATTGTTCTTTTTATTTGAACATGCATTCTATAGAACTCAAAAAGTAACGTTTGCTTGGATGACTTTATTTTTTTTCGTCTCTGCAAACTTTCTACCTATGTACATACTAAATTTAACTTTTGTATTAAAGATATACTTTAATTTAAATATCTTATGTTAAGTAAATGAAGAATACTAGTATTAAAATATTTTTTTGATGAAAATGTACCTATGCATTGAATACTAGCAACATTGTTGTACTAAAAAACAATATTTTATTACGTATATATTTATTTCATAGTAAGTTAAATCAAACACTAGTGTTTACTATAGTTATACGTACTTCAAACGGATAAACAATTTAAATAATACTATTGTAGGTCTCATTGCTAAAATTTTAGAGACTTTATTTGATTAAGATTAATAACGTTATTTTTCACTTTAAGTCGGACAACAAACAAAAAACAATGAAGTATCCAACAATCTTCTTTGAGGTAAGATTACGTGACGAAACGGAACATGATAATTATTTAGACCTTATAAAAAACTTGATCTGTACCTCACTTGTTCAGCATAGCTTTTGCATGTACTTTTCATGTCAGAGTTGATCCAGAAAATAGGTCCTGTAGATATCAGAGCAGTTATGCACCAACTGATAGCTATTGTAGCAGAGACTACGCGCTTCGTCACATATTTTCGATGAATCACTGGATGTATAATTGAAAAATATCGTTCGGCAGCTATTGCCGTAATACTGAAGAAATTAGCTATACTGCCACTGTATAAAAATATATCGCTGTTCCGACAAAAAAATTTTAATTTTACTTTGTCTCACAAATTTCAACTTTTTTCAATCAGACGATCAGATCAATAGAAATACAATCTTACAAATAATATGTTTAAATAATACAAATCTACAAAAAGTTTTAAAACACTGAATTACATACATTCACATATTTATACAATCATTAGAGTAAAATTGTACTACTGAAACTACAAACTGGTAATTAAATAATCGAATAAGATCTAATTTTGCTTTAGATAGTATTTTGATTGATTTTTCATCACTGTTCATGATTAGACTTTCTTTCCCAAGCAGAGATTAGTTGTTTTAATTTTTTACTTACGGGAGCAGGCATACAATTTTATCAGAATGACTGTAATACAAACTCCTATTCAGAACTATGATTAGACCATAAAGTATTACCAAGCCAATAAGTAAGTCCGCAATAGCAAGATTGAAAACGAGTTGGTTAGGGAGTCCACCAAATCGCCGATTGCTCAGAAATTGAACTATTATAGTTATGATATTGCCCACTAGTATGATTACAATCAACACTAAGTTGGCCACCAACTGGAATATACGGTAGGCACTGTTAAAAAAATAGAATTGAAAATATTGTTAATTAGTTTTAACTTTAAATTATTTTGCTGGATGTTATTTGTTTTGTAATCATTATTGTCCATAAACGAATAGTAGAGGTAAAACCATATAACTTAATACGTAGGTACCTTTAGGAAATCCTAGTTAAAGCAGTTTTCTAAAGCTAACTCTTTAATTTGTGAAAAAATAGATTTGATACTTTTGTATGTACTTTGAAAAAAAAAAAGTAAGAATTTTATCATGTACAAATTTGACGTGACATAAGCTCGACAATAAGATCTACTTCGGCAGGATCTGAATAATTTTTTTAAGGTGAATACAGAGTACAAATTAATGAACAGATGGTAAATGCATACTGTGAAATCAATGGTAATGCTAAATTGCGCTTAATTCTTATTGGGAGCTTCATAGGTTTGTTTAACCCAACTTGTCGTTATAATTAATAATTTGATGAATCACTTGTTACTAGCATCCAACGTACTATTGCGTGTGCGGACTGAGGTATTCAAAGTTTGAGTAAGAAATTTTTTCATATGTGATCCCGTTAACGTTTAAAGTAGAATATTTAATTATATTTATACTTTATGTATTTACGAATTCCACTAAAATTTCAAGTACTTACGTTAAGGAGGTACTAGCTTGATCATCCATGGCTGTGAGGAGTATAGTGTGTCTCGTAAACAAAGTTCGGAGCTAACTATCCAAATGAAGTTTCTTAAAAGTAGGAGAAAATTGTTTGTTGTGCCACTAAACTGTAACCTATTTACCAGTACACTAAATTAAGAACTTACAGAAATTTCGACACCACAGTTGACTTTCTCGTTATAGGTTTGGTGTTGCGCGTGTCATGAAACGTATTAGTGTCGGACTTACATACATAAAACTTTACTGTGACATACATGATATGTAACAGTAAAGTTAGGGACGCAATGCCCATATAAAATGTATAAAAAAAAGTTTAGTCTGACTCATAATAAGTAATAACAATGTTATACGACATGTATGTATAAAACGAGGTGATTTTAAAAAAAGTTTTACATACAAGTTTATTCATGGTCCTGAAAAAGAACTCAAGTCTGACGTTTATAACCGTTTTTTATCCTAGAAGGGTTTTTAGCTACCCACTACGAACAAACTGTGTTTGTTGAAACGACAGACACAAGACAAAACAATTTTCTCATGTTTTCTTATTTTAAATATAAATGAATTGCTCAATTGACGAAAAAATAAACTTTCTCTGTTGATTGTCGGTTTTCCAAGTGAAAGTGAAAAAAAAAAAAAATTTGTTCCCTCCTAACGAACCCTTCGTAAAACCAACTCAGTCCGTCCTCTTGAAGCTGTACATAAATCGGTGAAATTTCCTTGAGTTAGCTCAAAAACTCTCGATAACGTGTATACCCCCAAAATAAATAACGCACTCATTTGATGTTGAAAAAGGGAAAAAACAGACGATGGTCGAACCCTTATTTTATTTTACACACAAGTCCCTCCCTGTAAGAGCAGCCGTGGAAGGAGGGGAGAAAAAAAAAAACAGAGAGAAAATAAACATGCCGACGAGACCCCCGGAGAGGGTGAGTATATACGTATACGGTAGCGGAAGCAGATAATGGAAGACGCAAGACGGAGATTAGGCAACGAGAGTGGGAAATCCGATGATGAGCGAAACCAAAGCACACACCCCCTTCCCCGATCCGCTACTGGTGCTTGGCTACGTATATACCATACAAGCCAAGAGAGAAGAGAAAGGGAGAGGGAGACAAAATTACATTATCTCGCTAAACCGGACAGAGTATCATCGCTTCACGTCCCGTAATTCCAGGGCATTAAGGTAAACGTCGTATACGCTATACCATACTCCCTCCCTTTTCCGCCGTACAATGCGGTACAACGCCGTCGGGGCGGTGGCAACGGTGAACCAGTGGAGTACGTTCCCATGGCAACTCCCCCCCCCCGCATCCCTACCTTTTACACCCTTACGAGGGGAGGAAATGGCAGGGATGCGAGTGGATTCGCTCCGCGTATACAGAGCAGCGCCTCGGCGTCGAATCGATAGCGGCGCTTCTACTTTCATCTGATATACCTACAGTATATATTATAAAATATACATGTACCTACTTAATGTCCCTTCTGCTCTATGTACCCTAAGCTTGCGAACGTACACGCGAATGATGTGATATTCATTGCTAATCAAAGCTCGAGGGAAGTATTTGCTTGTAGGTGTACGATATTGCTAGTATAACATTCGTGACTATTGTCATGATGCTGTGGATACCGCGTATGAAAATATTTTATTTTGTACGTGGAGCAGACATTTTGCAATCAAACGTCGTCGCTCTTCGAATATGTTTTTCCCAATGGGTGCTGGTGTTAACAATACACCAAAGACATTTACAGATTTCTACGGAAAGTTTCGAAATTTTTAGTTGAAAAAACTCCATTGCAAACGATTTTTCAATTGATAAAAATGTACATGCAAGAGCTCTGATGTTGAAACGAATTTTCAACAACAAAATGCCCATTAGCGCCTCAAGATGTGTATCGGCAAGCCCGATGTATATTATCCACACAATAGCCCTGAGCGCGCGAATGTTAATCAATCACAGCGACACTTTTATTCTCTCGTGTATATGTATACGTATACACGCGCGCCGTTTGAGCTTTCCCTTTGTCCCCCCTCCCCCCTCTGCCCAGTGTATATATGTATGTATATATGGGTATGTGCGTGCAGCTTCGACAAATCGAGCCCGTAATTCAGCGAGAAAATCAAGTGTAAATAAGTCCATACGTTTCGAATTACACGGCCGTATTGCGCGCCGCGACGGCCATAGCACACCCCCTCGAGAGCCGGGAGAGCGCTTACTGCTCACGGACTCCATTTTGGCGTGACAATGCGCCGAGGGAGCATTAAAAAAAAAAAAAAAAGAGGGGGGAACTTTTATTCATATGAGACTCTCTTGGCCTTCCGCTCAATAAACTGTTCTATCAAAGGGGAGAGAGAGAGAGAGAGAGAGAGAGAACGTGTGTATTACATTCACGAGTGTACCGTATACCCTCCTCCCCCTTCCCCAACTATATGTATATATATTATGTGCTTGACTCTCTTTCTGCTCGCCCTTTTATGATTCTATTTCCGACTTTGCTTTTATTTTCGTACTCTTTTGCTCTCCTCTTTGCTACTTCTTTTTTTCGTCGACTTCATTGTGCGGTTGTTGTTTTTTTTTTTTTTTTTCTTTTTCACCAATAGCTGCATATACTTACTTTTATTTTTCGTACTACTAGTGAATTTGACG